GCACTTTCGTACAACACTCCCGACTTTAAGTAACAGTTTTCTTTGTGGGACGGTGTCCTGGTCAAAGAATTATTTATAGTTAAGCTCTTAGCATAGGTGACTTTTTATATTCTTGTGTATTTAAAATGCCCGGGTCAAACTCAGTTAAACAAAGTTTGAAGTTAAAGAAAGAAAACTGGGGATGCAGGGGTGAGGTGGGGTTATTGCTGAGACCGTGTGGGGTGGGGGAAGATTCTTGTGGGAGCCCCACGCCAAGCGTTGCCTGGACCGGATAGTACTGACCCCAAGACTTTTCCGCTCCTGATTCACAGACGGCATCTTTAGGATTATTTGGAAAATAACACTCAGAAAAAGTTCTCGTGAAAGGGGAGTGAAAGTGGAAGTGAGTGCAAAAGAAAGCCCCCAGCCGGGACTGCAGAGCCCTTCAGCACCAGGGCTGCTCCGTCAGAAAGTGGAAAGGAGACCTGGTGGTTCAGCATCTCCCGCAAAATGGGGTGAGGAACACTGTCTTCTACAGGCGGCTCCTTCCCCAGGCCTCCGAACCCGGGGCTCTACCACAGTGCCGAGGCAAACCAGTGGAAGGCTGCTGCAAAATTGAATTGTTTAGTTTGTCCAAACCGAATTACAAAGGTCCCTCCTAATATAACTTTAAAGCTTGCTGAGAACAGACAAAAACAAAACCGATTTCATTTGGGAGCTGTGACCACGGAGAAAGGGCGTGTGTAAATTCCAAAAGGACCCCCAAGCCCGCAGAAATCTCATGGGGAGTGAGAAACTGTTTTCCTGAGCAGATCGGTTTAGGTGCGAAGTGGAGTTGTAGTTTGTTTCAGAACTCCACGCCTGGCCCAGGCGGCACAAGCCATCCTTACACAGTACCAAGCCCTGCTGTTGGAGCCCTTGTTTCCGTCCAGCTTTGACTGTGAACTGCCGTGGAAGCTCGCTGATTTGGGGAAGGATGATTCTGCTACAGGAGGAATCTGGACACAAACCAGCCTCAAGCATTATATCCTGCCCGCAAGTTAATAAAAACTAAAGTTTGAGCCCGGCATAGTGTTACAAGCCTACTTGGGAGACAGGGGCGGGTGGATATCCGCGACTTCAGCTTGGTCTACAGAGCGAGGAGTTCCGGGACAGCCAGAGATACAAAATGAATGAGACCCCGTCTCAAGGGGAAAAAAAACAACAACAAAAACCCAAGCGTTTGTTGACATGTACTGATCATCAAGGGACTCAGGTTGCTCCAACTCCCCCAGTCTTCCTGCTAACTAGTCCCCCACCCCCACCCCGACACCACCACTAGTTTCCTTGGCACTAGGTTCTTCAAAGCAGATCTCCCAGAAAAACAAAAAACAAACAAACAAACAAAAAAAACCCACTACTTTTGTGAGCTGCAGGAGCTATCAGCAGCATCAGAAAAGAATTCTCCCTCCCGTCAGTCCTTCCTTCTTCTTCCTTTCTCCCTTCTTCCTTCCTTCCTCCTCCCTTCTTCCTTCCTTCCTTCCTTCCTTCCTTCTTCTTCTGCTTCTTTTCTCCTCAATTTTATGTTCTTGGATTCTGGATTTTGTAAACCACCACATAGCCAACAACAGAGGACTGGAATCTCAGTCCAGCCCCCTTCTCTCCCTGTGCCTTCTAACAGGAACTGGGAAAGCTCCGAGGAGACATTCACTAGGGACCTTGCTCTGGAAGTGATCCCAAAGCCATACACTGCAGAGCCTTCCAGAACACCTACCTCCACCCTTGTTAGGTCCAGCACAGAAAGGATTACCTGACTCTGAAGTGGTCCTCCGTCATTCTTTCCGTTCTGTTCTAGCTTCAAAAGAGCCCTGATGAAACCTGCCCTGACAGCCAGCCCCACCTCAAAGGGCATTCTCTTCCTTTGATTCACATGGCCAGAGAGGCCATCCTTTGGAACACTATGAAGGCTTCCCTTCGGAAGAACAGGACAGCTAGCTTGGCAGTGGTGGCACACACCTTCAGTCCCCACACTCAGGAGGCAGAGGCAAGCAGATTTCTGTAAGTTCAAGGCCAGCCTAGTCTATAGGGCGAGAGTCCCAGGACAGCCAGAGCTACACAGAGATACCTACTACTGTCTCAAAACCAAAACAAAACCAAAACAAAATAAAAGAACAGAGAAGATAGTGCAGAAGAAAAGAAAACTTGGAGCAGGGCAGTGGTGGTGCACCCCTTTAATCCAGCACTTGGGAGGCAGAGACAGGCGGATCTCTGTGAGTTCTAGGCCAACCTGGTGTACCTGAGCTAATTCCAGGGTAACTACTGCTGTTACACAGAGAATCCCTGTCTCAAAAAACCAGAGGGGAGGGGGAAGAGAGAGAGAGAGAGAGAGAGAGAGAGAGAGAGAGAGAGAAAGAAAGCAAGCTTGGAAAGCAATGTCCCCAGTTCATAGCCCCAGCTCCAAGGAGTAGGTATGACTGGAGCCTGGGGAAGGGTGAAGGATCCTACATGAAAATAGCATTTACCTGCCGAGCAAACTCCCCAGTCAACCTGAGAAAGAGGGTCTCCTCCAGAGCCCCCTCATCGAGATCCAGAATCAGAAGGTAGAGAACTCTACACCACTGGCAAGCAGGCCTTTTCCTGGAATAACTAATTTATGCTCCTTGGGGGACAGATTCCTTTTCTCCAGCTTGCAAATTTCAACAGTCCCTAGACATTCCCGGAGACTTTCTTTTTTGATTTATTTTTATTTTATGTGTAAGGGTGTACTGCCTGTGTACAACCTGGGGACCAGAGGCCAGAAGAGGGTGTCACATCCCCTGGAACTGGAGTTGCATATGGTTGTGTGTTGCCACATGGGTGCTGGGAATTGAACCCGGTCCTCTGGAAGACCAGCCAGTGCTCTTAACCATCAAGTCCTCTCTCCAGCCCCAGACTTTGTCTGTTTTATAAGGCCTACATCTGCCCACAGCGTAGCGCCTTCCTCTACTCTTCCAGTCTTGCCTTTTTCTCTAATTGCTGTCTTCTTTCCCAACACCCTAAGTTTGCTACCTTTCCTTTAAGCCCTAAGTGTGTGTGTGTGTGTGCGCGCGCGAGCACAAGCATGAAGATGGCTTGCATAACAGAAGGATCAAGTGTGTTGGGTTTACTAGGGAATCTGCGTGGATTTGTGGGCTAAGGGACAGAACTAGGCAATGGTGGTAAGTGCCTTTGCCTTTAATCCCCATCACTACAGAGGCAGGGGCAATCAGATCTCTAAATTCAAGGCCAACCTGGTCTACAGAATTAGTTCAGGACAGCCAGCACGACAGAGAAACTCTGCCTCGAAAAAGCAAACCAAACCACAACAAAAGAACTGTCTCTCATTCTGTGAAACAGCTTAGATATGGGGGAGGGGACTTATCTTCCTTGCGGTAGGTAGGTACATGAGCATATGTTTGGGTTATCGTATTTTTGAGAATGGGTATCAGTGATTTGGCTTGTAATACATTTGTAGACAGCAAGCATAGTGCTTTTTAATTTTAAAATTTGCTACTTTTATTTGGTTTTGTGTTACCTGTATGTGTGCGGGTCCATGCATAACAAAGCCCACATATGGAGGTCAGAGAATAGCTCCTGGGAGTCTGTCCTTTCCTTCCATCATATGGAAGAACCCAACTCAGATTGTCAGGTTTGAAGGCAAGTGCCTTATCTGCCAAACCATCTCATCGGCTTTAATGCTGTGCTTTTATTCAAAGAGTTGTTCTTATTTGTATATGCAGATGTATATGCACCACACCTTAAAGTCTGTGTTGGAGCCTGGCAGTGATGGCTGGCATGTGTCTTTTATCCCAGTACACGCCTTTTATCCCAGCACTCAGGAAGAGGCAGGCAGATCTTTGAGTTCCTGGCCAGCCTGGTCTGCAGAGTGACTTCCAGGAGCCAAGGTTACACAGAGAAACACGGTCTCGGAAGAAAAAAAGAAAGTCTGTGTTAGCAGGTTCATAAATGAGCCTCTTTTCATAAAGGGATACTGGTATATGACAACATATATGTGGTGCTTAGATGAATTCCCTGTGTATTTTTGCACATGGGGCAACAGAGGTTTGCATGCATGGATACATGTTCATAAGGCCTTGCATGTCCTTCAGAGGCAGGTCCTGCACACAGCCTGGAAGTGCAAATGAGCTAGCCTATTTTCTGTGTCCTCTCAGGAGCCTCCAAAACTAGATTCACCCCCCCCCCCATTCCCAGATTTTGTCCCAGTTCATACAAGGCTACAGTTTGAGCAGAGTGCCAGGAAAGGCGGGGCTCGATACAGGCGAATCCCAGACAGCAGATTCCCTCCAGCAAGGGCCAGCAGGAGCTGTGGTGTCGCAACCAAACCGGGGCCCCTGGCGGAAGCGGAAGCCTGCACTGGGGGTGGTGAGGCGCAGTCGCGGCGGTCGCGGCGTGCCAGGCTCTGGGCACCCGGTGGGGGCGTGCGCGCCACGCGCGTGCGGGGCAGGCTGGGCGCCAGGCGGCACCCTCCAGGCCCCAGCGTCTGTTTACCAACAAACTGCCATCGCTCAGCAGCTACGCATTCCGACGCGCTGAATAAGCGACCGGCGCTGGCGACCTGCTTTCCACTCCCTCTCAGAGCCCAGGCAGCTTGGAGACCTGCGCACCGGCGCGACCCGCAGAGCGCGAACACAGGTTCTGAGTCCGCGCAGCGTCTCTAGTCACCATGTAGCTCCCCTCGCCCCTTGGCCATCCCAGGCCCAATTTCCTAGCACTTTGGACATTGTTACCGAGATTTCCTGACTCCTCTTGTCTCCAGCAACTTGGAGTAGGTGCCGGGCCCGGGGCTTGCGCACCGCACCCCTCCCGTTTCCCGGGGTGTGCTAACTGGGGGGCGGGCCCAGCTCTGGGCCTCCCTGAGGTCACCGTACGATACCCAATCCCGGGTGTCTAAGTGGGCGGGGGACTCCGTGTGATCCCGGGAACGGAACCCGGAGGAGAAGATGGGGACCCAAAACTTAGGGGGGAGGGGAAAATCACGGGGCACCCCCAAAACCTCTTTTTAGGGTGCTAGCTCTCACCCAGAAGAGGTTTAAAGCTACATTTTCTCTGGGATCTGAAGTGTGGGATGGCTTGCTGGGGGTTGGGGGGATTCATCTGCCTCAATTCTGGAGACTTTGAAAGGTGTTGGCATAGAGCGTAGACGGCGTGCAGGTCTATGACCTAGGCCCTGTGGCCGAGTATCGGCCACAATGACCTCTTTACCCTGTTCCCTTCCTGGCCGCGAAGCCTCCAACGTAGTCTTCCCGGACCTCGCCCCCACCCCGTCGGTAGTGGCTGCCTACCCGCTTGGCCTGTCCCCCGAAACCGCAGCTTCCCCCGATTTGTCCTACTCCCAGCCTTATGGTCATCTCCTGCCCTATTCCTACCCTGAGCCAGCAACCCCAGGAGACGCCTACCTGCCCAGCCAGCAACTCTCGGCGGCGTGGTCTCAGCCCTTCCACCCGCCAGTTGAGCACCCTCAGGAACTTGAAACAGGTAAGTGTGGCCGCGGAGGCTCTTCTCACCTCTCGGGTCTAAGTTGTGTTTTCATAAATTTCCCCCTCTTCTGTTTACACGCGGCTAGCGGGATTCAAATGGTACTCGGGTTCCACGGAATCGGCGGTAGGGGGAGGGAGAAAGGATGGGGGGAGGAGCGGAGGCGAGTTGATCTAGGTTTTCTTTTTAGATCCGACCTGGTTTCGATTTGCAGTTTTGTGAAGCCGGCGGGAGGGCCTCCTACCCCACCCCTGGAGTAGTGGAGTTGTGTGCATACCTCTGTGTAACAGAAAACTATCATAATCCAGATATGGGGATGGAGACCTAGCTCCTTTCCCGAGATTCTCCTCACCCTTCACCCCTTTCCCTTACATCACCCTTCTCGAGGTCTGGTCCCAGAAACCAGTATTCGAGCCAAACACTAATGAACAGAAATCAATTCCCAGCAAGCAAGAGATAGGTGGACAACTAGGAGGGGATCCTTCTCCTTTCCTGGACTCCACCCCCTTTTTTTTTCTAGAGGTGCCTAACTGTTTGGTAGCTGGCTCCTACAGAATCTGGGTGTAGGACCCTACCAACCATTGTTCAAAGAATAAAGTTACAGGCTGGTCAGTCTCAAAGCCTTTCCCTGGCCACCTCAGCCCTACACTTAAACCATCCTCACCCTTAATTTAGGGATAGATTAGGCCCAGTTCCTGTTGTTGCCTGCAGCAAATCTGAGCTCCAGAGAAAGCACTCACTAGAAGGCCTCAGTGAAGACAAGGGGCTAGCTGGCCTTCCGAGGCCTTGGCTGGCACTGCGAGGATGCTGGCTATCCATAGACCCTGGTGTACAGACTTCCCAGTCCCTTTGCATTGTTCCTGTTGCCCTTGGCGCTCTCCCAGCCGTGCACATCTGCCAGATGACTTCGTTGTAGTCAGCCCCAAACCAAGATGTTTCTCTCTTTTCCCCTGTTACTCTGACATAAATTTATGAACCCCCCAGACCCGAAGTCACTTAGAACGGGGTCTCGAATTCCTTGTTTTATGTTTGGAGAAACCGAGGCAGGAAGAAAGGATGCAAATTCATTTTCCTCAAGGAATGGAGCCAGGGAAGGGGGACTTTAGGGAACTTCTTTAGAAACCCAGAAAGTTAATCCCTTCTGTTGCAGAACTGGGGGTGGGTCTCCTGGGTTGCTGGGTCTGGTTGAAGGAAAGGAGGAAGGCAGAGTTTTTACATACCTCTTGGACTTTCTTTTTAGATATGCTAATATACACTGGGGAAGCAGAAACAGGAGGACCCTGAGTTTGAGGCCAGCCTGGGCAACTTGATATATATGGTGTCTGTGCACATGGGGAACCTGATCTTACCTCGGGAGAACTATTCTGGCAATAAGGTAGAGTAGTCGGGTCTGTCTTCCATATTCTGCTGTCCCTTGCCTGGTCCAAGAACAATGGAGTGGAAAATTCTTTCTAGTACATTCTTTACCCGGATCCAACGAAAAACCACGGACTCCAGACGCTCGCATTCACAAGCGAGTACGTCTTTAAAATAGACCTTAGCATTTCGCTGTTGGAACTGTGTGGACCGCCCCGTTCCTGAATGAACGATTGGAGAAAGACAGAGGGCTTAGGGTCTACTAAACCCACACTCCGTGTGCAAACTCCATCCCCGGGAGGCTCTTGGCTCAGAGAGAGAGGAGAGCCTCACCAACACCCCGTTAAGGCTGCGGGTGCGGTGCCCGTGCCTCCAGGGAGGCCCTGGGGACCCGTTATTGCGACCGGGGTAGATCCAGTTGTGACTTGCCACAACTAGTATGGAGAAAGGCAGCTGTCCCGGAAGGCACCTGGAAGGTGACCTGCTCTGAGAGTTCAGCAATCCAAACTGTCTTTCTTCGTGCAGCACCGTCCGAACTGCACGGTCCTGGCAACCTCCGTCCAGGGCGCGGGTGGTCGCTGGCTGCCAGCCCCAGGAAAGCGGTGGGATCGAAGAGAGAAAAACTGGACAGCCTCGGGCGGGAGCGGAAACTAAAAGCCTTTTCTGGGAATTGATCGAATGGACCTCAGAGCCCGCAGCCCCCAAGGGCACGGATGAGAGCTGCGGGGGAGGTGAAGGCAGCGGTGACTGTGGCCTGTGGGCGGGAACCCTGATGCTAGTCTAGGGATGAATGAGGAGCAGAAGGACAGAAGCTACTCCTGCCATGGGGGGTGGTGTATGGGGGACATTCTGCTTGCTCTTGTCTGGCGTCTTCACAGCAGACAGGCAGGGAATGGGGCGACTGTCACCCGAGCATTTTGTCATCGTAGGCAAGCATTTTGCCTCTTCATCCACCCACTTCTCTCATCCTCTTGGACAGTCTCAGTATCCCATAGACTGGCACAGGTTGGAGCCCAGGTTTCAGGAACGGAGACCCAAGGCCTCAATCCTGACTCCACAGCCCATAGCTGAGCTTGGAGAACCTGGCTGACAGGCAGGGGCGGAGTGGGGTTTGGGGAGCAGGACCAGATCCCATTCCACTGCCCCGCAGCTGGGCCAGAAACGACCAGTATTGCTGTCGCTGCTATTCTGGACCCAGAAAAAGCCTCCGAGTCAGATGTCGGAGGGAAAGAAAGGGATGGTCACTTTTACAGCAAAGTACACTAAGGCTCCCCGCCTTGGTATTGGCATTCGAGGCAGACTTATACAGACCCCTTTCAGAAGTCAGAGGGTACCTTCCTCATCTTTAGACCTTAGCTCAGCCCTCCATGAGTCTTTTGCCCTGGCTCTTATCTAAGCAGGTACCACTGTAGCTACTGAATTCCGACCTCCCACGGTGGGAGCCATGGTGGTAACTTCAACAGGGCAAGAACTTCAGCTTGAATCCACAAGTTGCTGGTGTAAATTTGTAAATTCAAAAGGCAGAGAAATAGACAGGGCTCCCCCCACCAATACGCACTGAGACCCAGGTTGTTGGCCGCACTAGTTTTGCTGATTCCCAATGGCTTGAGCCTATGGAAATACCTGACTCACCTGCTCACTCCACACGCTTACAACACAGCTTTCTGCTGCCTCCAAGGATCAGAGAAAACAGTGCTGTCCCAGCAGCCCCTGACCAGGAAGCTGCACAACCCAGAACCATCTATTCCAGGCTGCAGCTGCATGAACACCTGAGCCAGCATTTCCAGCACACACAGTACTGGCCCTGTCTGAAAGCCCTCAGCGCAGCTTGAACTCACCCAAACCCAAGTAGGGCCAGTCCCATCCCCAAGTGTAAAGCTTCCCAGTCCCTGGTTTCTGAGACCCCATGGAAGAGACCCATGATTCTGCTGACAGCTCTCCACGGATGTCCACAGCTGATCGGCAGCAAGGGCATATACTAGAGGAGAATTGGACACCAGAAGAGGAGGGCAGCAGACCGGAAGTTGAGACTGAGGGCCTTCCAGAAGTGGAGGGCTGGAGCGAAGGTTCACAAGGCTCACTCTGTAGCTAGGTCCCTTTCCCATTCTCAACGCTTTCAGGGACACTTCTAATGTATCCTCTTCTTTTTCTCCCAAAGGTAAAGATTGGTTTCAGAACAAAGGCTCCAAACAGAAGAAACTCCTGCAACAGAACTCTGGAGAGCAGGAAGAAGACTTCTCTGGGAGACCCTCTCCCTGCTCCCCAAATCTTTCATCCCTCTGGGGTCTACTCAAGGCAGGCGCCCTGCCTACCAGTGGCCATGGCAATGGCTTCAGAGCCTGGTATCAGCTCCCCAGATGTGCGGCTTCTGCCTCAGATGCTATGAGTCTAGAAAAGGGGCTGGTTAGGCTCCAACCCTCCTGTCAAGCCCAGGACATCGCACCTGCTCTCCTTCTGGGGGGAGAGGAAACCAGCTCCAGATGGATTTTCTCAAGACAAGAAGCAAAATGAGAAAAAAGAACAGAGTTGGGGTCTGGATCTCCAAGCCAGATAGCTAAATCAAAGGCTTTAATCTTTAATCTGTCCCCAGTGCTACCATGGACTGGACATCTCCTCCCTCTGGCAGGACAAAGACTTTAGAGAGCGGCACTGGCTAGAGTTTAGACTGCGATGGTCTTGCCTCTCCCCCCTCTTCAAATGACTGCAGCCCCACCACAGCCTAGGATCTAAGCCAGGAAGAAAACAAATATTATTTCTGGCCCGCACCTTGGGCCCTACCAGCCCGTCCATGAACAAATCCAGAAGTGGACACAGTCTCTGTTGTCGGCCATAAAGCCTCTGTTTTTCATCTACCAGTTATCAGTGATGGTCAGCCCATTACCTCCCTAGCTGGAGGTGCGGTCCAGTGGTAGAGTAAGTGCTTAACATGTAAGAGGCCCCAGCACCAAAACAAAAATATGGAGTGTTGGCCTGGCGGTGGTGGTGCACGCCTTTAATCCCGGCACGCGGGAGGCAGAGACAGGCGGATTTCTCTTGAGTTTGAGGCCTGGTCTATAGAGTGGGTTCCAAAGCTACACAGAGAACTCCTGTCTTGGGGATGGGGGTGGGAAGAGTATTAGCCTGTGGGCAATTTGTGCTTCTTTTCAGTGGTCCTCTACTTCTATACCTATCCATTTTGAGTTGATAAGTCCTGGGTTAAATCAACAGGGGTGGATTAAGAGCCTAGGCCCACTACCTTCCATCCTGGATACTAACGAGTTCACCTGCTCATGTTCTTGGAAGCCCAGGGGAAGAAACGGGACAGATTCTCTGGATCATTGCAGGCATAGCTGCCTCCAGATAATGGGGTGGGCTTGACACTTCAGCTCCTCACGGTTGCCTCGACCCAAGGTACTGTTCCAATTCACCATTATTCTGTCCAGCATCCCCAGGGTCTTGCCATCTCTCAAATCACAAGCTTTAGAGATTAAAATGTATACAAAAAACAGAACAAAGAATCCTTCAGAGTCTTGGGTGTTATATATGCTTGTATCCTCCGTTCATCCCGGTTGCTGCCGGTTGCTCATTTTTCTCTGCCCTCTGATACAGCCTCCCCTTGACCAGAAGTCATAGATACTAGATTCTTTTTTCTTATAGTGATTTATTATTTTTATTTTATGTGCATTGGTGTTTTGCCTGCATGTATGTCCGTGTGAGGGTATGTGGGTGCTGGGAATTAGACCCAGATTCTCTGAAAGAGCAGTCGGTACTCTTAACCCACTGCGCCATCTCTCCAGCCCAACTGTAGAACCTTGTTATGCCTCTGCCACCAGCTAGCTCTGTGGTTCTAGCTCTGGAATGCCCTGGCAGTGCTCATAGCACCGTAGGAAATGGGAAGATGCTCAGAGAGGGAAAGGCCAGTCAGAGTGGCCTTTGGCAGCAGTTACCTCCTGGGCCAGCTGTGGAGGAGTCAGGCACCTCACAGCCACCGTGTTCTCCCTCAGTCCAGGCTGCTAGGGGTCGAATGGCTTTGGGCGACAGAAAGAGATGGGGGAGGAAAGACACCAGCAGGAACTGGAATTCTCCATCCAATGCACATCTATGGATCTCCTGCTGGGTAGGTTCTAGGGGTACCACCCTGGTGACAGGGACAGATGCTTCAGGCTAACAGGTGGCTAAACAGATGACGGGAGACAGTGTGACAAGAGGTGGAGGGAAAGCAGGACAGAGGCCATGTGGGCACCATCCAGAAGCCAGCGTGGGCTAATGGGGTTAGGGCCAGGTGAGAAGGCCAGTTGGCTCCCAGAACATCAGGCCTTGGCAGCATCACGATTCGATTTGCTGGGTGCCACAGCTCCCAGCACACAGACAGCATAGGAGGTGGGCTGAGGACAGGGTCAGTCATTCAGAGAATTCAGGCCTGAGTAGCCCCAGGGACTGAGGAGGGGCCTCCAATTCCAGGCCAAAGGCTTCAAAGACTAGTTTCCCCGCCCACTGCCTGACCTGTTCCCCATCACAACAAGCTGAGGGCACCAGTCCCCATCTGAAAAGCCCAGTGGGACACTTTCAGCCAACCCCAAACTAGAAAGAAGCTTGCTTTGGGGTCACAGGGAGGACAGAGGGGCTATCACTGTCAGTGGACGTGTCTCACCTAGGGATGCCTGCAAGCATTTCTTCTTTGTCACGGCCACTCCCCCGAAGACACACGGAAGATTTCCCTGTGAGCAGTGAGGGGTGAAGATGGCCACTGGAAAGATCCTTTCCCTTCCTCCTTTTCAAACCCACCCCCTTGGCCCTGGGACCCCGGCTCCATTTCTCTACGGGGTGGCTGGCCCCAGATGGCTCCTCTGGGTCTTCTCTGAGGCCAAGGGCCCTGGGGGTAGCTGTTCCCTGCCATGCAGGCTACACACTCCTCTTTCCACAGCGCAAGATAAGATCTACCGCCCCATCTCGGAAAGCCTCCAAAGGCAGATTAATTGGACAGCCCAACACGAGTCGCGTCGTTAAAACAACAGCCTGGGTTGTAAAGTTAAGTAGCAATAGTGTAATTGCTCTCTCAGCCAGCGACCAGCTGAGCCTGCGGCACCCCCCTTCCCTTGCCCCCTGTGCCCCTTTCCAGGGGAAATGAGCCTCTTTTCTATTTGGGAGCTGGTCCAGTTGCCTCAGACTTCTAGGTGGTGATGAACTGGAGGAATTCCAAGAGGACCTCACCTCACCTCCACCTCTTTAGATACTGGGGGAACCATGTGTGTTCTCCCCAGGATGAAGCTCCGCTGGGGGCACTGGATCGACAAAGGAAAGGGAAGCCTGAAGGTAGACTTTGGTCTCCAAAGAGTGCCAGCAGTGATGCTTGCTTTGTGACTTTTGGTGAGTTTCTTAACCTCTCTGTGCTTTATTTCTTACCTCCGCAGACAAGAGCGGTTAAGGATAATAGGATTTGCATCCCATCTGGTTGTGATGCTGAAATGAGATAGTGCTTGTAACAGCCTTGACGTGGTGCCTGGCACACAAGGAGCACTTTATAAATGACCTTCACAGCTGCCGAGGGAATGACAGGAGGGGATAGCTCAGTTGGCAGGTGAGTTCCTATAGCCATCTAGTTACCTGCCTCCCCAAGGTAGGGGAGGAAGGATGGAGCCGGAAATACACTACAACACCTCTCAGCCATCACCATTAGAGAGAAAGACTCAGGCTAGGTCCTCCCTCGAAAAGGACAGCGTCTTGCTCAACCAAAATCAGCCAAGGCCGCAGAACCGGCAGTGTGTACGTAGGGGTATGTGCTACCACTTCCAGGGTCTCAGCCCCAGGAAAGTGGCCTCCTTCTGGGTAACTCACCCCCCCACTCCCCTGTACTATTTTAAGGTATGGCCCCCCATCCTCTCCCCTGACCAAATGAGATTCAATTAATTCAATTAAAGCAATTTTGGAAGCAGCTCCTGAAGGCTTTGGATGTGAGATAATTACGAGTAATTTGCTTCTGTGAAGAGGAAAAGGTTATACAGGGTCTAGAGTGGGGAAGGAGGTAGCCCCCTCCTCACCAAATGCACCCAGATCTAGAAGGATTCCACCCGGCAATCTTAGCTGCCCTCCCATTGGCCAAATTGCTTGCAGGTGGGAAGAGGGAGAATGTGGCAGTGGGAGGAGGGTGAGAAGACACTGGAGTGACAGGCTGCCCCTCCTCCATCCCTGAATCCGTCGTGCCTGTGAGAGGTGGGGGTGGGAAGCTCCTCCCTCCCCTCCCCCACGACACTACTGGGCTCCACGGCTAGAGCAGCTGATTACTCAGCCCCAGCCTCCCTGGATTTTGGATGCCTGGGCTTGCCTGTGGGATTGGATCCAGGGGCGATGGAATGTTATCCAGGTAGCTGAGGCCTGTGTAGAGGGAGCTGCGGAGATCAAGGCCCTTCCTAGAATATATGGGGGATATGGGTCAGTGGGGTAGGAACCACTGGAGGTGGACAGTGACTGCTGGTTCCCAAGTCTTCTGAGATGCCCTTTCTGTCCCCTCCCACGATCTCTCCTCTCCTCTACTCCAGCACTCTCTGGTTCTGCCTGGTGTCCAATTCAAATCCCTTCCATCGTCTTCCCTTCCATGGTAAATCTGCTGTCAGCCTTCTGGCCCCAGAGTCACTAGTTTCTTCCTCCCCCAAAGCGTTTTGCGATTTGGTGTTCCTGTCCCCACTCCATCTTTACCCGGATAGTTCTTCCCTCACGGGCCTCCGGTCACGGGCTGGTGAGGAGAAGGATGGAGTGCCCCATTCCTTGGGATCCCATGTTCCAGGACATAATGCTTTAACGATTAAGATGCAAAAGAAAAAGTCACTTAATGCAGAAAAGATTGCCGCATCCCATCTTCCACCTTTGCTCCTCCCATCCCAGAAGGGGTCCCTCAGCTTCCTTTTCTCCCATCGCTTCCAGGGCAAAGCACCCCTTCTCCTAGCTGCAGGGCTGTTGGGAGTGGGGCCAAGGAGGAATTAATTCCCTCAGTGAGTCCTTGGTGGCTGCTGCTTCACAATGGGCAAGCTCCGGAGAGGGGAACCTGTGTCTCTACCACCTCATGCCTCTCCCTCCCATGCCCCAGCCAGCTCAGACCCAGCACAAGTGGAGAAACACTGAGTTCCTGTCAACAGGCCAGCCTGAGGACCCTGGGCAACAAGGGAGCAGCCTGGGTTGGGGAGGAAGCGACAATGTCATTCTCAGCTACATAAATGTCCAAAGCCAGCCTGGCCCACATGAGGCTCTGTCAAGGAAGGAGGTGAGAAGCGAGAGAAAGAAAACCAGAAAGAGGCTGGTGTGTGATAGTATGTGCTTTAATTCCAGCATTCTGGAGTCCCAGGCCAGCCAGAGCTACATAGGGTGCCCCGTCTCAAAATAAATTAAATAGGGCTGGAGAGATGGCTCAGCAGATAAGAGCATTGGCTGCTCCTCCAGAGGACCCAGGTTCAATTCCCAGTACCCACATGGCAGCTCACAACTGTCTATAACTCCAGTTCCATGGGATCTGATACCTTCCCACCAATGCACATAAAATAAAGTTAAATAAACTATTAAAAATAACAATTAAAAATGAATTAAATAAGTACATATCTAAAAAGAAGGGGGGAAAGTCTGCAGTTTCTTTCAGTCCTCATTTCTCTGTCTCTGTCTCTCTCTTTTTTTTCTCTCTCTCTGTGCAATGTGTGCAGGAACACAGATTTTTTTTTCTTTTTTTTCTTTTCTTTTTTTTTTAAATTTATTTATTTATTATGTATACAGCATTCCTTCCATGTATGCCTGCAGGCCAGAAGAGGGCACCAGACCCCATTACAGATGGTTGTAAGCCACCATATGGTTGCTGGGAATTGAACTCAGGACCTTTGGAAGAGCAGGCAATGCTCTTAACCTCTGAGCCATCTCTCCAGCCCAGGAACACAGATTTTTTTTATTTCGATCCTCGGGCTTTTCTCTCACCCCATCCTTTGCCCTGGCTAATGTTTTCTGGACATGCTTCCCTAGGCGCTGCTGGGGAGGGAGGTTGAATGGCCATAAATTGATAATTTCATTTTCTTTGCTCGTAGAAGCCTTGCCTGCCTCTTTCTCCGAGCTTGGGCTAGAACTCCCGTGCCTAGCTCCTCCCCACACACTTCAGGCTGGCTCCCAGACATGCCCATAGCACTCGGTGCTGCCACTCAAAACTAGTTAAGGATGGGGGCTTTCTTCTGGACTTCTCCATGGATCTTTCTGTTCCCCTGCTCTGACACCAACTCCAGCCTGAAGGAGGGACAAAGGGACCCAGGGTCCCTGGCTGGCAGAGAAGGCTGTAGGCTTGGAGCCTGTGTTTGCTACTGCTTACTGGGTGACCTGGACAAGTTACAGACTCTCTGCAACTCCCCGGACTCCCTTTTGCTGGGGACAGTGGTGTTACCACCACTTCCCTTCAAGGCTAGAGGTTTCTAAGGCAGACTCAGAATCTCCCATTAGACTGCCAGCTCTCCAGGAAACTCTGCTTCTCTGGATCAGATAGGATGTG